ATAAACTGAATCCCAGTATATATTTAGGTGACGTAGCACGTCTGGATTGGTGTCGCGGACGAATTGGACACCGGACAATAACAATTTTCCGCTTATGTAGGCCAAAAACATGGATCTTTAGAAAAATGAAGTAGAGTAAGATTATTCCATATTCAATATTTTCTTTAAATTCTCATCATGAGAATGTATGGAAGCTCCCTCTCTCTCACTAAATGAATTACTATTAAATAGTATTTCCACCCACTCTCTTCTTTAAGAAGGGTGATTAGGAGGCAAAGTACAAAAGCCCCTCCAACCAAAATGGAACAAATCTTGTTTTTTTTTTTAACATTTATCAATTACACATCACAACATACATAAACCCAAATTAAATATCACTTTTTTTTATAGCCAAAATTCCTCACCAATGATTAGATATTCATTTTGGATGACTTAATCAACTTCTTAAAGCAGCTTGAAGCAGAAAAAAGAATCCCAAACGACGCAAGACTTCGTTTGGAAAAAAATTTCTTATGCTTTCTAAAACGACTTTTTAGTACAAATATTTTAATTCAGTGCTTATTTTTTTAACATTTAGACTCATTACACATCAACATACATAAACGCTAAATTTCTAATACCGTTTTTTTAAGTCAAATTCGCAACTATAGATTAAGGTTTCATTTGGATAACTTTAATTCTACTTCTTAAAGCAGCTTGAAGCAGAAAGAAGGTCATCCCAAACAACTCAAACGCATAAGACTTCGTTTGAAAAAAAACAAATCTTATTACTTTCTAAACTGTTTCTAAACGGCTTTTTAGTACAAATATTTTTAATTTAAAATTTTTGAAATTTAAAAAGCATATTTTAAAAAAGCAGCAAAAAAATGTCCCAAACACAAGTCTAAGATTGACTGCGTTGAACAAAAATTCCAAAAACAAAAGAAAAAACTAATATATGGAAGATGAACTTATATGTACTTTTTTATGTAAGTTAGTGGACATCACACAAAATCTAGGCATCTGCCTCTGATTCTTCATTGCCATGTCTCCTAAATTATTTCCCATGTATTCTTTTAAGCTCAAATTCGAGATTTTTTATTATTACAATTCTAAACATTCAACCAACAAGTCAAAATTGAGACCTTCCCGCATAATAATTCCATCATATTATAAAATTAAATGACTATTCAAAATTAACGTGTGTATTTATTTTTATTTTTTTATAAAGTAAAAATTTAATAATGTAGACTTCATGACTTGTTATTCTCCTATAGTGAGGGGATAACAAATATTTCCTTTTCACACTTTTCTATCACCCACATCAATGGGCAAATTTTAAACTTCGGATACGTCCAGACACTAAAAAACATTTATTTATAAATTAAGCGCATCAAAGGCAATAAAAGCGCATATAACTTGCAGTAAAAAAGCAACAAAGAGCAGTCAAAAAAGCGCAGTCAAAGAGCGCAGTCAAAAAAGCCAAGTCAAAGCGTAGTTAAAGCGCATGCGAACGTGACAGAGTTTCATTGGATATTCGGACCTATTTTTAGTCCGTGATTGAAACCTAAAATTTTGCCCCATCACATGAAAGTAAAAAGGAAAAATTTCTAAGAACTAAAGGCACACACGGAGTAAATAGAGGGTCTAATGATTTGTTCCTTTTGTAACTTCACCTTCAGCAAATTTTCTTCTGCTGCTATATTTCACTTCTCTTTACATGCAATAAACATATAATATTGAACCAACGTCTAAATTCTACTTTGATCCCTCATATTATTTGTCACTAAACTTTCTCTTTCTATCTGCTTAAAGTCACAAACAAAATTTTTCTAGATTTGAAATTGAACAACATAACTATCACTTGTCAATAAATTATCTGAGTTGACTTGGTTCTTAGAAAGTGGGTAGTTTGGCGGACTCGAGAAGATTAGATCAAAAGCTTAGAGTTCCCAATTAACCAGTCCCAGGTCTATCCGAAGAGTAGTTCAACCACAAAGGGTTGACTAGCATATTAGTCCACATAGCCCTTAACATAAGAGAGACAGGGAAGGGTGACTACCCTGTTTCGTATTGAGAAATTATTTCTTTTGGCTCAGCCAGACTATTCATAGACAAATCAGGATGAGCCAACGCCATCGCCGATACAACAAGCAATAGTGAGTGTCACATCAAGATTTTGCCTCTAAATAGCTTCTGGCTGACCACACAGAAATACATTATGCATTGCCATGAGCCCTAGATCCAACTTTTCACTAGGGAATCATAAGGGCGACCTAGGTCCACCTATTGTAAAATCCATCAATCGTGGGAAGGCAATTTAGGCATCCTAATCAAACCTAGAGGCAATTAGAGCCAATTGACCTAACCTAGCAGCAACCTAGGGAAGCCTTTATGTCCCTTATGAAGGCCTAGAGTCGTTAGCTAACCACCAAAGAACCCCAAGAACCCACTTAGGTCATCCTAGCCAATGATCAAACATAAATATTCACCTTAGGGTCATTCGTCAAACCAATATAAGGACCATATTGGTTAGCTTATTATATTTGCAAAATGATAACCTTATCATTGCCATGTTATGATGAGCTTAGATGTTAAAATTAGAATATTAAGCCTTTGAATATCTTAAGACTAATACAATTGATTCCATACTATACTCAAATATTAGCCAAAAAGATAATGATCACACAAACTTTACTATTTTGGTTCCCATGTTTTAAAAGGGACCATCCATATCAATCCTCTGTTAATTAAACTCACATAAGAAGCGATGGCTAACTCCATCAAAAGGAAAAGCATGAAATAGAAGGTAAAAATTATTTTAGTACACCCAAACACAACTGTACAGTACTTGTCAGGCTCAGTTGGGACGGCTTTCTATATTTCTTAAAGGAATTTTTTATAGTAATTTTTTTGTTTTATTTTTGTACTAAAAAATGCTTAAGAAGCAGCAAAAAAGTCGTCCCAAACAAAGCCAAATAACATTAATACAATTTAAAATATAATAGTGGAAATAATACGTATAGGCTGTAAAAGCCTTCCTGATAATAGTCATTATCCAACCTTGATTAGTTTAATGCTCTGTTTCCCTAGTAACCAACCCATTTTGGATCATCTGTGGTTGAAGAAGCGCAAATCAATATGGATGTGCACCTGAAAGAAAAAGAACATTTTAGTGTTCTAGCCAAAGAATTTAAGAAATCAAAGATTAAAGCATATATACCTAGTTTGGTAAACAAGTTGCGAATTGATGCTATGGATATGTTTTGAAGGACACTGCAAGTTATAAAACAGTAATAATGAATGTACTCTCAACTAAGATCAAAGCCAAAAGCAACTCAGCTTTGTTTGGGACACTTTTTATGCTCTTAAAGCAGCTTCCAAGTATAAAAATTTATTAAGAAGCGTTTAAGAGAGCATAAAAAAGCTGTCCCAAACAAAACCTTAAATAAAGAATGCATTCCCCCACCACTCCAAGGATCCCAGCAGTCCATTTGAGAAAATGATGTTACTGGCCAAATTTCTTTAGGACTACTATATCCTGCCAGGAAGATCATGTTAAAGGTCACATTTTTCTTTAGATTTTATCATTTGGGATTTTGGCTTAATATGAATTTACTCTACAATGCCCTATAAAATATCGTACAGAAAATGAGAATTTCATTCTAACTCAAAATGAGTAAACATAAAATCATAGCTTTTCTATGTTTTTATTCTCATCCACATCATCCAATGAGCCAAATACTAAGATTCAGAAAAAAGTTCTGCTTTGAAAGGTAAGAACGGATATATAGAACTCCTATGCCCTACGTGTGACAAGAGCCTCGTGCATGAGGCATCAAGTCATTAAAGATGGAAATATTTACGTATATTGCACTTTAAAAATTGATATTTTCTATTCCTTTTGATATTTGATTAGTAGGTTTACGATCGCAGATTTACATATGGTTACGTATTTAATATCTAATTCTATTTTATTATATTTATTTTATATAACACACAAATCTGTTAAGATCATAAAAAAAAAACACCACTAATAATTTTTTATAGTTATAATACCTCGAGATATATAATATATTTTTGTGATTGAGATACTAATGAAATTTAAATTTAGTCTGTAGATATATTAATAAAAAATTAATGTCGTATGCATGTGTTATCTCCCATTTTATTAACAACCTATGTGAAAACCAAAACTATGGCCAAAAAGGATAAGGCTGCAGTCGCAAGTTTTATGCTCAACTAAAGGAATTTGAGACAATAATTAACCAGTGCTATATTG